GTTTGTGGCCTCAGGAAGAGCTACCATCCCTGCAGTTTTGACCCCCCCCCACCCCCCCCCCGTGTTGTAACACATAGATGTGACAGTTTTGCTTTCAAGTATTTGGGGTACAGTTCCCCCCCCAAACCCCTACACCAATCTTCTTGAAACTTGGCAGGTTCCATTCTCTCAGCAGAGGCTACGATCTCTGCAAGTTTCATCCAAATTGGACACAAAACAACAAAGTTATAGATATTTCATTGATTCCCCATTATACCCTATGGCCGGATCTCCAAGGCGGCTCTGAAGCTTCGGAGCCGCTTCGGCTGGATGGAGGCGGAAACCTGGTCTGGAGCTCCAGACCGGACTGCAGCCATCCGAAGCGGCTGGACCCAAAGCTGGATCGGATCACTGCCGACTTGCACAGGCCTAGTCTTTAATTAGGTCAGTTTCTTATTTGTTTTTTTGGAGGACTTTCATACAGGAATAAAGAGGAAAAATATACAGTTTTAAAGGTCTCACATTATCAAACTAATTCAGCATATAATCTAGTAATTGACTATGTAAAATCTCATTTGTTTCAATAATTTAAAATTAATTTCAGTGTTCCTAATTTGCTTGTTTTTCAAAGTTCAAATTGCCTATTAACTATGTGACAAACACAAAGTAGTTATAAGAATGAGTCATAATAATACTTTTTGTTTCTCTCTTTTTCCAGTTGTTTGAGTTCATGAATTTTTTGGCTGAGAATGTCATCTTCTGTTACATGGGGCTTGCACTGTTCACATTCCAAAATCATATTTTTAATGCTTTATTCATATTTGGGGCATTTGTATCCTTTGCTTTAAGTATCTTTAATATCAAATGAGTGCTTATTGTGGAGAAAAAAACTAAAATCAAGTAAACCTGTTTTTTAATTACTATAAATACATTCTTTGTAAGGCTTAGATTGAAAGGAAGACATGTTTTAATATGTACATTTCAATAACTAGTTTAGCAGTTTTAGAGAAATAATCTGTTTGCATGTAGTAAAATATATTGCAGAACTGTTGCAATATTCAAATCTTAAGGCAAAATTCTTTTATCTCATATTCAGCTCCTCCTTATGTGCATAGAAGTACACATACAGGTAAAAGTACAACAGGATCTGCTGCACAATAGGCCTGTGCGAAGCGGCTAGTATTCACTTTGTATTTGGATTTGGCCGATTCGGAGGACAGTGATTCGATTCGGTGATTTGAATCACTGACCCGAATCGATTCAGCCAAACCTGATTTGGAGACTCGGCCACAGCTGAATCAGCTGAATCTCCAAATTGGCGCCATCCCCTGCCTGCTCTCAATGGCTGCCCTGCCCGCTCTCCCAGCTCCCGGCTCTTTAAAAAAAAAAAAAGGCCTGAGTTACTGGCTGCTGCCAGGCAGGGGGGGGCGGGGGGGGGAATCACTGCTGGCCCCCACTGCCCTGCACT